ACAGGCGTGGTGTGAAGCCTGAAACCTTGGTAGAAGGGATCAAGACTTTGCTAATAGAGAGCAAAGTAGAGCTGTCAGCAAGAGGCAGGCAAGAGGCAGGCCCTGATGACAGAGGACTTGTGCTTCTAAATGCTTGAAGCTCTTTTGGAAGTCTCACTCCAGGATCCCAGTTTCAGAGTCAGACTCCGTGCCTTTCTGAAGTTCTTCCACTACTGTCCACGATCCCTGGTACACTGCTCACTCAGATGACATCCACACTGACGCCAATAGTATTGCTTGCCTCTCGTTTGAAAGCAGATCTTTGATGTTATTGTTGCTTTGTTGGTTTTAATATTACATCCTCCCCCCCCCCCAACTTTATTAAAAAAAAAAAGCAAACCAAAAAACCTACCGCAACAACATTTAAGAAGGAGAGACCTCATGAAGATACAGCTGTAGGAATGAGTAAATAATTCCTGTTAGAGCATATATTACAAAAATGGAGGAAAAAAAGATAGTCACTTCTACAACAACTGGTTCTGTTTATCTTGGGACCACTGAATATCTGTGAATCCAGTCTAACACCAACAAATGGTCTGGTAGCACTTTATAGACTAACAAAACATGTCGATGGTATCATGAGCTTTCTAGGTCACAGCCCACTTCTTCAGATGACCGGAGTTTTGAGGTTAGGATGTGCAGACCCAAAATAAATAGGAGAGAAGGGGAGGGGGTGGAGGGATAAAATAGAGGGGGGTGGGAGACAGGGAACTAGAGAGAATCACTAAATATTTGAAGAATTGGGTAGTTAAAACGAAGCAGATAAGAATCAAGGTAAATTGATCGTATCCTTCCTGACATAGGAGTCTACACAAAGAGCTGTTTGCACCTTCATCCGCTGTTAAGTTGGTAGTGCCCCAACCACCCTATGCACAAGTGATAGTGATAGACAAGGTTAGAGCGGGAACGAATGACATTAAAGAAGCAAACAAGTGGCGTTGCTACAGTACATAAATTGCACATATATTGGGAAATAAGTTGCTATCAACAGGAAAAGCATATTGCACTTTTTTTGTTTAAAACAAAATTAACTATCTTTGGCACCAAAATATACCCAAAATATGACTTCACTTTGTAAAATGTAATGAACAGTTTTGTCCTGCTTCTAAAACATATAATTAAAAGTGTTTTAGTAAAAAAAAAAAAAAACCCAAAATGCATAACAAACTTACACTAGTATACAATCTTGATAGAAATGCAAATATCTGTTCATTTCAAACAAGAATAAAAAGGGGGCACATTTGTACAGCAATTCATTTTTATATGTGTAAGTTTGTTAGCTCTCATACTACAGTAACTTATTGATAACTAAACAACAGCAGAAATAAACAGATGAATAATTAGTCCAGTGCTTAGTGGCACATCGCAAGTCCTGAACTAATAATGGACAAATTAAACAGTTGCTTACATTAGCTAATCAAAGCACTCAGAGTCAGTCGATAACTATTATCAGTGTTCTGGTATATTGTACTAATACTAACGACACAGCAAAGTACGTGTCACTATTTCAAGGCAGTTGTAGATTCACCCTTTTCATTAGCTAGAACACCACAGGAAATGGAAATAGGACAAGATGTCACAGTGCCATGGTCTTACATGCTTTGTGCCTGAACATCTCTTGACCTATGATTCTGAAAGTCACTTAGTCCAGATCTGCACTAGATTTGGAAGGTCGGTTTAAGGTACACCATTCCAGCTATGTAAAATACATAGCTTGGATTCAGCTTATCTTAAGTCAAGCTTGGCATTGTCTTCACAGGAGCAAACACTCCCATCGGCTTTGTGATAGACCCTCCCCATTTATGAAATGGTCTTATGGACATGAATGCATATAACTCAAAGGTGCTTTGGGCAAATGGCTTCATGTCATAATCCGCTGGATCTGTTTATCTTATTTTGGTGCATATATCATTCTTGTGTGTAAAATGAGATGTATGAAGTGTGGAGTGCATTGTGGTTTTTAAATGTGTGAATGAAAGCTAGGATGGGTGTTACCCTCAATGTCTTTATGACTAACTGTTAAAAAAATCACTTTTGTCCTTTAAGTCTTAGTAGTCACATGTCTATCCCAACTGACCAGATGACTTCCCATGCAATTAGGGAATCTTTAAAGACAATAGGAAAGTAGGAATCTTTTGTCTTTGGCTGGCACACCCAGGAGAGTGAACCAGAGATCCCAAGGGAAGAGGAGATTTTGGTGGCTGGGAGGCTTAGCTGGAAAGGAACAGTTTTAGGGTGAGTTTCAAATAAGTTTCTACTGAGGTTTCAGTTTTAGAGTTAGCTCAGCGTTCTCTATTTTTTGGTTTGTTTGTAACCTACTTTGCTCTGCCTGTTCTCACTTATTACCACTTAAATCCCACTGCTTGTACCTAATAAAATCACTTTTACTTATCATCAAACTCAGTGCAAATAATTGTTACCTGGGGGCGCAATCGGTGTGTCCATTCCCCCTTTCATTGCCAAAAGGGCCTTACCTAAATAATTCATTTGGGGTTCTGATCCCATTTGGGGAGTGGTATCTCAGGAAGCTGGACCCCAAACTGCATTGACTTGCACCTGAAGAGCTTCCATGTCTGTACTGCTTCTTGGGGGGGCATGAGTCTCAGATCCATGCCTTGCTGGGGGTGGGGAGCAGGGAGCTGGCTCAGCAGGACAGGGTGGTGAGAAGCCCCAGAGAGCAGAAAAGCAAGTGTCAGTGGCCTGGTCAGCCCTCCGGGAGGCACCCCCAAGCGGTCTTCTGTGACCTCCCACCATCATAGGCTTTCCTTACTCCTCATGCCAGCAAGGAGTACCCCCACTGACTGAAGCCAACTTGAGCATTTGATTTAGCAGGTCTTAACTAGACATGCAAAATCAAATGCCAGAAGATCGATCCCTGGCGTGGCAAGTGAAGATGTGGTCTTAAACACGAGTGCACCGGCTTTCTGAACCAGGGCCCCAGTGACCCTTCTGGGAGTTTTGGCTGCACACAAAATGAGACACAGAACGGCAGGGCATTATCCAATCCATCCTGCGGAGGAGGGATTCTCAGAAGATATCCCCAATACATCTATCTGTTCTTAAAGAATCATAGAATACTAGAACTGGAAGGGACCTCGAGAAGTCATCAAGTCCAATCCCCTGCCCTCACGGCAGGACCAAGCACCATCTAGATCATACCTGATAGATGTCTGTGTAACCTGCTTTTAAATATCTCCAGAGATGGGGATTCAACAACTTCCCTAGGCAACTTATTCCAGTGTTTCACCACCCTGACAGCTAGGAAGTTTTTCCTAATGTCCAACCTAAACCCCCCTTGCTGCAATTTAAGCCCATTGATTCTTGTCCTATCTCAGAGGCCTAGGAGAATAATTTTTCTCCCTCCTCCTTATAACACTCTTTTAGATACTTGAAAACTGCTATCCCCTCTCAGTTTTCTCTTTTCTAAATTAAAGAAGCCCAGTTCTTTCAGTCTTCCCTCATAGGTCATGTTTTCTAGACCTTTATCATTTTTGTTGCTCTTCTCTGGACCTTGTCTAATTTCTCCACATCTTTCTTGAGATGTGGTGCCCAGAACTGGACACAATACTCCAATTGAGGCCTAATCAGTGCTGAGTAGAGCAGAAGAATGCCTTATTTTGTCTTGCTCACAATACTCCTGTTAATGCACCCCAGAATCATTTTTAGGATTTTTGCACTAGCGTCACATTGTTGACTCATATTTAGCTTGTGGTCCACTATGACCCCCAGATCCCTTTCTGCAGTACTCCTTCCTAGATAGTCGCTTCCCATTCTGTATGTGTGAAATAGATTGTTCCTTCCTAAGTGGAGCACTTTGTGTTTGTCCTTATTAAACTTCAGCCTAATTACCTCAACTCATTTCTCTAGTTTGTCCAGATCATTTTGAATTATGACCCTAACCTCCAAAGCAGTTGCAACCCCTCCAAGCTTGGTATCATCTGCAAACTTAATAAGCGTACTCTTGATGAAGATACTAAACAGAAACTGGATCCAAAACAGACACCAGTGGAACCGCAGATATTATATCCTTCCAGCACAACTTTTTCTATATGATGTACATTGTTGTAAGTTGTGTGCCCATTTTAGGATCTCTTTGTTACTTATTCCATCAGTCCATTTCACTTGGAATATTCTACACAGATTTATGCACTGAAAGCTGTTCTATTTGCACTGGGTTGACTGATTATTTTCTAGGACCGTGCTCTACCCAGAAAGACATCCAGAATTTTGCTTCTAAAGATCTTAAGTTTGATGCTTTTACGGAATCACATTCCATACTGTCTTAACGTTTTGAATTACAGCACTTGCTTTACCAATTCTGGACTTTACATCAAACTTGCAATCACCAGTATTGTGAATGATGTTTTGCCAGTAAGTAAACTTATTAAAAGGTTTCAAGGCCTCTTCTTCAAAGTAGATAAAATCATCATAACTTCTGTCTTTGATATATTGATAAAAAGACCTATCTTCCTTGGAAGACTTTGCAAGAGCATGTGTCTCCTACTATGTGTTATTAAGTGATTTATTTGTAAGGCAGAGGGCGCTTGCAAAGCCTTTGACCCATTTAACTTGAAAGGCTAATTCTCATAAAGACTTGTAGCCACATCTGAAAGCTTATCACTTACAAACATAGTTATAACTAAACACAATCAGTAACTGGATTTACGTCCAAACATGTTTGTGACCAGTTTTATATCTACTCTGTTTACAGTGCTAATTTAAGTTCAGACACTGTGCCAGATATTTATCAGCATGTAGTCTCATCAGGCATGACTGCTACTGGAGTATGTTTTCGTCTATAATTGCTTGAATTGTTGGTGTTTAACACCAGCCTTGTCTTTGCAAAGCTCACTGGATCTACACAAACCCATCTTTCTCCAAGTTCCTTTCCTTTGATATTTATTTCTTAAGATTATTTCACACAAACAACTTACGAGCCAATGTTTATCTAGTCAGAGCCAGAGTTACTTCATTAAAGCCAAGGTAATGACTCAATATTTACACCCTGGAGCAAAGATCCGAACCTAGCACACATGCTTCTCACTTGTTTCCACTTGTATCTGTGGTGCTTTGCTGCATGGTGGGCTGTAAGCTAATAGCAAGGAGGGAGAACTAACATCTTTTAATGGAGCTATTATAGGTAACAATGTCAAATATTCTGCGAAGATCAGAGAATAATAAAGGTGTTTTCTTTTTGTTTTGGTTTAACCGGTTGGTTGATTTTTGTGTCCTTAAACTTACGTGCCTAAGGCTACATCTTGACTGCACTCTTAGATCAGAAAAAGATACATACTTTGCACTACACAAATTGTGTATCTTCTTTCAATTTAATTTCAAGAGGCTTTTTCTAAATTTGGCGTGTCTACACTGTGCCAAATGTTGAAAAAAAGTGCTATTTCGAGTCATCCCTTATTCCTCACAGAACGAGGTCTATAGGGATGGCGAACGAGCACGTCTGTTGTTTCAAAAATATTTTTAAAAAAGTGAACTTGTTCCTCGGACACGGCATTGTTTTTTGGGGATATTTCTTGTATCCCGAAAAAGCAACGCAGTCTAGATGTAGCCTAGGTTACCCGGGAGAAGCAGAGCGCCATTGTTCTCTGCGGATTAGCTCTGTTTGTTTTTTCAACTCCAAGCAAAACGGAGATTGGGGTAGCGGGGAGAGCTTTGTCTCAGCAAGGGGATTCCAAGTGATCTCGTCCCTGGAAAGGGTTTATTTTATATTTTAAGTTACACTTGGTGGTGGCAGCAATCAGTCTTCTTTCTTTTTGGGTCTCAGGGAAACTGAGACTGGACAAGTTTGCCTCTGGGAATTACAGAGACAGGATCTTGCAGAGTTTATTCTGCTAACCTGTCCCCATATCTACACAAGTGCTAGGTTGGGAAATTGAACCATGACAGGGCCAGATTAAAGAAATCAGTGGTGGTTATACCTTTGTTTGAAGAGGTAAATGCGAAGATGAGCACTGCATGCATGGAGTCAGCTTTGCTATTAAGAATAGCCTTATGTGTAGCCTCAGTGAACACCCTACTGGTGTCAGTGAGCGTCTAATGGAGGTTCTCATAGGGAAGCATGAGGCAAAGGTTTTCTCATTTGTGAAGTCCCACAAGGACCAATCACATCATACTACTTATTCAACATCTGTGAGAGATTGCCGGGAGACATCATGCAACACCATGGCTTGTGATGTCAACAATATGTTGACATCACATCGTTATCTTCTCATTAGAATCCTAGGGTTGGAAGAGACCTCAGGAAGTCATTGAATCCAACCCCCTGCTCAAAGCAGAACCAGCCCCAACTAAATCATCCCAGCCAAGGCTTTGTCAAGCCAGGAATTAAAAACCTCTAGGGATGGAAATTCCACCACCTCCCTAGGTAGCCCATTCCAGTGCTTCACCACCCCTTCCAGTGAAATATGTTTTCCTAGTACCCAACCTAGACCTCTGTAGCCTATAAGGTCAATCTTGTCTGCTAAACTTGCTTGCAAACCAATATATTTTTAATACATTTTTTACTTTTTACTATTTTAGAAGTAACTCAAGGCCTGTGGGATGTTACCCCGTAAAATGTTAGCTTTGGCAGTAGGGTAAAATTTTTAAAAAATGGTGAATACAAAATATGGCAAAAATAAAACATAAAATATTAAATATATTTTTGTTAAAATATGGTGTAAGGTTAAAACATAAACAAATATATGTAGTGGGTAGTCAAATGTGCTAAATCTAGCTCACCAGAACAAACAGGGGTTACCACAAAACACAAAAGCCATTTACTAACATACACAACAGTATGCAAACATCCCATACCCTAAAATAAAATGATCAAACCTGGCATCTAATGCCAATCTCAGAAATGCAGATGTAATAACATAACAGCACAAAACTTGTGGTATTTCTCTAAATGTTAGTCAAAACACCCCCTCCTCGTGGGAACACAATGTAACAGATCATGCATATTCACAGAGGTGGTCTCATTTAATCCTCCAATCAAACATAAGCATCCACAAACATTATAGGGTACAAAAGTCTGTTTTTTAGGGTGCAAAAGTCTGTTTTAGGGGTTGGCCTAAAAAACATAATTAGGCCTATAAATCTGTACATTTTCAAGTAAAAAGGTGCAATCATCATTCTCATCTTCTCTATCTTCTCTTTACTTACTTTCTAAACTTTCTTTACAAGTACTTTTTAAGTCTTTAGTTTCTTATGCTACCTTTCATCTCTCATTAAAACACCTATTATATCAACAAAGCAGGTCCTGTAACTTCTCAAAGCAAGGAAAAGGGTGTAAGGGGTAAATATGGAGTTCTATTAGGTAATTGCAATTGTATACTTACATTATATCCATATTATCACCTATGGATATTAAAACTCTGTATCTAATTGTTGCCAAAAGTATATTAACGTGTTTACTTGTATTGCCCATTGCAAGAAAGGTAGTTATTAGTTTGTACCAAACCCACTGCAAGTGTAAAGTCTGTGGTTCCCAAAAACTCCCTCTCAAATGCAAAAATCATCAGAAATCTCTAACCTTGTAACCAGGGGCAAAAAACAAACTAAAATTTTTCTAGTCAAATTTGACAAGCCTTAAATCCAAAATGTATATTCCTAAACCCTCGGCCAACAGTGGTGAGCCAGCAACAATTTCTGTTAAAAAAACCAACAACCCCTTTTTCACTATCTGATAACAAGAAAAATCATTTAGGTACTGTTTGATAACTTTACAAGTAAAATTTTGCCATAGAGTGTACAGTTCTGGGTTACCTAGTAACACAGCTAGAGTCACTTCTTCTTCTGGTCCTGTGGTTTTGTTTGGCAATATGCCCAGACTGAGGTTTACAAAAAACAAACCAAAACAAAAAAAACTGATTTCCTTCTTTTGTAACTTAACTCTTTGTGGCCATTTGTATTACAATCTGCAAAAATTAAATTGTCTGTACGTGCATTTAAGGGGCTTAAATTGTTTTGTTTTCTTAATAAATAGTTGTGTCTAAATCCACAGGTTTCCCTGTTTTTAGTCCCCACAACTCCCCTGAGCCATGGCCTCCAACCAGCCCCCACTACTCCTGAACTCCCCAGATAAAAGCTTTTATCTCTCAATTCACCTTTTAGGCTTTCGATAATTTTTTTAACCCTTCTCATACTTTAAAACTTTTCTTTTTTATAAAACCATCTGGGGGTATTTTATGTTTGTCTGTTTGGTCATAAAATAAAATAAATAAATAAAAAAGCTTTCCAACCATTAGGTTAAATTAAGTTAGTGTGCAATAATTTCAATACAGGCAGTCCCCGGGTTACATGGATCCGACTTATATCGGATCCCTACTTACAAACGGGGCGAGGCAACCCCGCACTAGCTGCTTCCCCCCAGCAGACCAGGGAGACGCGGAGCGGCTTTTCTCAGCAGACACCTCAGCTTGAGAATAAAGGACTGAGGGAAGTGAGGTGTGGGAGAATAAAACTGAGCTCTGGAGAAATGTTTGGCTAGAGTTTCCCCTACAATATGTACCAGTTCCGACTTACATACAAATTCAACTTAAGAACAAACCTACAGTCCCTATCTTGTACGTAACCCGGGGACTGCCTGTACTCAATAGTTTCAGAAACTGTAAAAATAAGTTATCTACAAAGTGTCATGTATAAGTAAAATAAAATTTAAAACAAGTAGGCACAAGCATCCAGCAGGGTGCATCTAAAATCACATGCCAACCGTTATGTAGTGGTGAGGGAGTTTGGCTCTTCCTTGCCAGAGTGAGACCCGAGAAGGAAACACTGGATTTTATTAGCTGTGTTTTGACAGGGTTGCACATTAATTTTGCCTTGTTTTGCATTTGCAGCAGCTTGTTTTAATTTT